GAGCAGAATGCCATTCATGATCAACTAACGCGGGCGGGCAATAACGGGGTTGAAGGGATCTTCTTCTTAGATGCGCCAGGATGAACTGGCAAAACGCTCCTACTAAGACTGACTCTGGCAGCCATTCGATCTAAAAATTACATATGTTTAGCTCATGTGTAGTCTGGAATAGCTGCGCCCTTGCCACCCGGTGCAAGAACTGCTCCTTCCGCATTGAAATGGCGTTGACCGTGCAATTAATTGAAATTCCTGCTTGCAACATTCCCGAAGCATCCGGTATGGGAAAAGTACTGCAGAACTGCAGCGTTATTGTTTGGGGTGAATGCACATTGGCACACAAAAAAGCTCGAGGCCCTTGATTGATCATCGCAAGGGTTGCGTGGGAACAGTGGAACATTTAGAGACGAACTGCTACTGTCTGCAGGAGACTCGGGCAAACACTGCCTGTAATTCCTCGATCGACACCAGCCAACGAAATCAATGCTTTCCTAACATACTGTACGTTTTGGAGCCACCTCCAGACGTTAAAATTAACCACGGATATGCGTGTCCACCTGCAATACGACCGATCAGGTGAGATATTCTGACATCATTTGCTGGCAACTGGGAATGGACGGGTGCCGGTTGATCCGACTTCAGGACTCATTTCACTATCTATTACCATCTACAATTTAGTGTCGTCAAAATAAGAATAGGTTACAAAGGTATTTCCCAATATTCAAATCAATTATACGAGTCACGATTGGCTGAGCGAACGCGCCATTCTTGCGGCCAAGAACAGAGAAGTCTGCCTACTTAACCATACTATGCAGTCTAAGCTTCAGAACGAGGCAGCCTCATGCACGTCCGTCGACACTGTTGTGGAAGCAGACGAGGCAGTTAACTGTCACACAGAAATTTTGAATTCGTTTGATCTGCGCGGGACGACGGCACGGGTACTGCAATTGAAAATCCGTGTGCCGGATGTCATGCTGCGAGAAATCAACCAGCCGAAGCTCAGCAATGACACGCGGCTTGCAGTAAAACCATTAGTGAACAACGTAGTGGGGGCCACTATCTTGACAGGACCTTGCAAAGGTGAGCATATCCTTATTCCTCGCATCCCACTGATTCCAACTGACATGCCATTTAGATTTAGTATACTGCATTTCCCGATTCGATTGGAGTTTGCATTCACTATCAGCAAAGCTCGGGGACAGTCCTTAGAATTGCGCGGTTTTGGATCTGCAAACGGATTGTTTCTCACATAGCCAATTATACGTTGTGTGCGCCCGAGTCGGCAAACCAGACAATATTTGTATCTGCACAGACAACGCAATGACAAAAAATATCATATACCCACAAGGATTATGCAATTAAACATATGAGCAACGTGCCCCCTTCCTCTTCTCTTTCTTTTACATTTCATCATACGGAGCCACAGCAACGCCTGGCGGGGTCCAGCTAGTTTTAAAATACGACGCCTGCATTGCAGATTACGTACTGCCTCTTCCCATTCGTTCGCAAGACTAAATCAGGATATCGGTGCACGTCAGTTGTCACAAATCCATACCACTGATTGTGGTCTTATGTTAGTATGTTTGTCCTTCGAAATGATTTGGGAATTTTTAGGCAGGTCTACTTATCACGTTAAGCGCATCGCTTACTTTCGCTTATTTCGGTGACTAGCAGACTCTCGGCATACAGATCAAAACTTCCTTACCAATCCAATCATATCGTTTTATCGTGCTGTTATTGTCATATGATACTTGTGGATCGAACGCATGAGCAAAGCGAACCATTAAAACAACTAGGCTTCGTCCTGCAATCTGCCCAAGATCAATCCTTGCACGGAAATTATCTCGGGCTATGTCCCGATTATCAGTCGCGTGACATCCGCGTACGCTTTCATTAGGGGAATCTACTATATCATTATCGAGGCACGCGTCTTACCCTCCTATTGACAATGAGTCCGTTAGGTATAATCAGAGAGACTCATATAAACCGTTCCCTGTTCAGTTTGTTTCCTCGCAGACCAGTCTTAAAGACTCGGTTGCGCTCTTCGGAAAATATTTTAGGCCAAAAATGTTTCTGATTTCGTGATGACATCGCACTTCATTATATACAGAAAGAAACTGCACTCATTTACTCACAGAGATCTTTAACTTTTACGGCCCTTTAATGTTCGGAGTATTTTTTTCACACACAATTTTGCTCCCACGTGATACGTTTGAAAGGGATTTCCACTAGCCAATCAGGTTGGTTCTCGTAACCATATCTTGCATCGCACGTTTTTCTAAATTATTCAAGGTCATAAATTCGTTCAGCTATTGTCGACGGATCAATCCAGTCTTTCCAGTCTTTGCCTCTCCTTATTCCAGTCTTTGCCTCTCCTTAAGGACACAATACCCTTCCCTTGATTAGATTCCGCTTGCTTATGTTCACTTGCATTTTTGGAGCATTCCCACAACTGTCATGCTAATCTTGCCATCAATAACTGTAACCTCCTCGTCTTTCAGGAGGAAGTCATTGTAGACTTGATTTTATTCCAAGTCACTAGCTCTCGTTGTAGTGCTTCTTTTGTTTGTTTCCAGAGTACTTAACGCATCCGTATACTCTTGAATATGCACATTTCACTCCATTCTTTGTCAGTGTTTTAGCCTTCGAGGACTTCTTAAAGGTTTATGCCTTCCTAGGGGTCAATGCCAATTGGTTTCACTCACAATTTTTGCTGAAGAAAGCAAAATCAGCGATGAGGTTATCGGATTTGAACTTGTCCTCAGTGTCGGCTGCGTGATGGCAGTGGCAGTGACTTCAGTTACCGAAATTTTCCAATGTTTCAGTGAGTTCATGACCTCATTCTGTGCTCTGAGCCATTCTAGTTATCTTCCAACAGACTTATGGTTCTCCTGTCATTCTAACACAATCGAACAATCCCCTGTAACCTGGGTATGTACATCAATGTGACACGCTTTAGATCCTGGCGTAAATTATGCAAAACTTTCCTCAAGTAGACTTGGGGCTTCAAAATGAGATATTTAGTTGTCTAACGGACCTTCACGTTATTGCCTTGGTCAATTTCGAATACTAGTGAGAAACGTTCACGTTGGCATCCTGGGTCCTCAATGATGCAGAAATTAACAGATATTGTTGAGTTCAGTTCGGATCTAAAGACTGCAAAATAAAATTTGAACATTCGCTCGACGAGTCGAAGACCTTACATCTTCGGATCGCGGTGGTCGTAGGTTGCCAAAAAGTCGTATCTTGGATCACGGAGGCAAGTCTGGTTCCACGTGATATTTTTGAGTTGGATTTCAACTAGTCAATCAAGTTGGTTATCTACGGCTTAACTTACCTTGCTATAATGTCGTATCATCTCGGTCCTATGCTCGGACATTTGTCTCCCAAATTGTTTTTAAAATTTTTAAACAGGATCTTTTTTCATATTAAGTGTACCACTTACGCTTACTTTCTACTACAGTCGCTCACCAGTAAGTTCCTGAGCATGCTGTGCTCGAGGTACTGACAGAGCAATGATATCGCCAAAATTGTCTTGTGGGAAAGAATTTTCTTATCATTTGTTGGTAACCCCTCTTACCTATTAGCACAGCTGACACGACGTACGCCTGTGGATCAAGCGGTGGAGAGTTTGACTAAAATGCCAAATGACCGAGTGGTCCTAATGCAATTCTAAGTCTTTACTGGCCTTAGATCGAATCAGTGCTGATCGACGATGTCAACATAACCCGGAAAGACTATTCAGACCTCCATGTCTTTCCCAGCATTACTTTGCTATTATTGGTGGTTTTTCGTCAAGTGACCACCTCGGAGGGCTGTAGACGGAGTTGTAAACTAGAACTGACGTATGCACTTTTTCTTGCAGTCCTGGTCCAGGTCAGTTAGTGCCGCCATCGGGTGATTCTAAATTAATGTGTGATAACGAACGGCCGCTCGGCGATCAAGCACTCACAGTCGGACTCCGTCTTCTATTCCTGCTATTTCGTAAGAAGACACTCATATCAGTCCGGAGATATCTTCGAAACTCTCCGGTGAACGGCATTGCCCTACTCTAATCCCCTATAAGAGACGGAAACTAGGTGGGATATTGGCCAGAGTTTTGCCGTCGCTAACCTTTTTAAGGTGTTCACTGAGGAAACGCGTTGCCTCACACGAGCGCGTCACGTACTTTAGTACGTTTAGGACCTCGCGACATCCCAAGTCTAACGAAATCAACAAGTGAGTGCGAGACGTTGCTGATGTGCTAAATAGTCGGCGTACATCTAACTGATCTCTTGTCTCAAATAATCGACGGAAACGCAGTTCAAACTCCGGAGATATTTATAGAATACTGACGATCCCCACATTTTCCCGCAAAGTGAAACAGTCATAGAAGGATAACCGGTGCGGGTTGTTCGCTAATGAGGCGAATGTTGGGGACAGAACTATGGAGCAGCAGTCACCAATGGTACCGATGCCTGCAGAATGCGCAACACGATGTAATTCGACCTTATCGTAATCAGCCGTCCTACGTTGTTAAAGCCACGTCATAGGAGCTGGAGAGACAAGACAACTCCATCACAATCGGCTAGGCGGAAAGTTACACGAGATTTAAACTTAACTTCAACTGAATAATATTCAACAATTGCAAATATTGGGTTTTCAACAGAAAGAAACGACGAAGAGGTGAATTTAAAAGTAGGTAGATAATAATATTGTTTGAGATATTGAAAATTCAAACCAAAAACAATTTATTCAGTCTCTGTGTCCGCGTCTGTGAGCTCGTGTGTGTGTATGGGTGTGTGTGTGTGTGCATTTATACCAGTCGCAGGAGGAAGGAATTCTGCACGGAATGCTGCTTGTCCACAACTACCTGTGTGGATGTCGGAATCGAAGGACTTCAAGACCAACCGGATGTTTTAATTTTGGTTGTAGTTTTTGCAGCAGATCCTGGTTTGGGGAGCTGAATAAACCGCGATGCAAACTCGATCAGATACATGGTTTCCGGGCGTACGTAATGGAAGCTAACGGTCCAAACCGAAGTCGGCATCCACTGCGAGAAGGAGAAGAGGAGATTAAAGTAATATTAGTCGCGCAACACGGACATATACGTGGACATGGGAGATGGGAAAGGATATTTGGAGACGCACCTTACAGATTACCCTCATTACTGAAATAGTTTATACATACTGAGCAGAAAACGTGCATGTTGGAGAATGAGGACTGTTGCGGTTAATCCGCCACAACCGGATGTCCAATGGCAGCCATTCGCCAGGATCCAATTTTATGTAGTGGACACATGCCACTTGTCATTGACCTTAAGTTTAGCGGAGAATCAGAATGTGGGTCTCTGAATGCGACCGTCTCAAAAAATGCGAATCGGTGATATAGGTATTTGGATTGGCACATTTTTTGGACATGGTGGCGCAGTTTGGTGTTGTTCAATGGACTACACTGGACAAAAGGCGGTTACCGATGCCGTAGATTTTTTGCGAAAGTCTGGGATGTTAATACAGAAGGTGAACTGCTCTTTATCTCATAGAATCTCATCGTCATCGCTGTAGAGTTGAGTGTTTCAGATTGCAGGAATCGGCAAATGGCCACTAGCAATAAACAAGTTCACGTTTATGACCTTGGGGCGCCCTCTCCACCCATTATTACATTCAAATTATTAAAAATAAACGTACCCAAAAACGCAGACTTTTGCCAGTGGGCGAAGCTACACTTCCTGCGAGCCACTTAGTTTTCTCGAATACCGATTCCGGACTGACCCAATTGAACTTGTTTCTCCTCCGATTGTCGAAAGCATCGTAGAGATCTACACCGACAGCAACACCACAGACGCCTAAGAGATACCAAAAATTTGGAAATAATGCGTCTTACTTGAGTATAGAGAAGACAAGTTGGAGCATGTGAAGTGCAACTGGCAGCTGAGTGTAGAATCATCGGACAAAATTTAATAGATATAGTGCGTATTGGGCGTCGTTGAGCTACTTTTAGGCCCATGTGAAAAAAGGATAGACTGAATTATTAATTTCTACTTAGGAACTGGTTGCAGTGTCCGCCATCAGAGCAATGCAGAGAGACAAAAACAAATCCGTTGAATAGACCCCGACTTTCATACATACGTATACATTCGTACATCAGGAAATGAGTAATCGACTTGCCAGGAGGTGCCGACATCAGATATGCGAAAGTGCTGGAGAAAAGTAGTCACTGGTCCTGACGAGACAGAATGCTACATTTGGAGCAAAGGAATGCATCGCCTGAAAGGAAGTCAGTCCAATGATTGAGCGCGACGCGAGAATCCGGTGATCAGAGAAACAACAGGCGTACGAATGCCCCCTTCTAGCACAAACCAGACTCTGCCATCCTGAAGGAGTTAACTCTGGTACCTTTGTCCACTAAAGTCCGTTACAGATACATGACGGTTCGACCGTCGCAAACGACGATGTCCAGTGCATGCTCCGTTGAGTGGGCGGAGCGTCGGTGACTTTCGCGTGAATTAGTTCATAGCGATTGAGATGTGCGCAGCAAGTACTGCATTCTCTCTTCCCTCACCTGCTTTGCTCCGACGACAAGATAATATCAAGGCGGCCGCGTGTTGATGAGGATGCAGTGGCTGGCAAGGCCGAACAGTCTGTCTGCCCGTTCCCCACACGACCTGGCCCCCAATGCGCTTACCTCGCCTTCATGAATCTGACTCGGACTTCACGCGTTTGAGAAGGCCATGAAGGTCGCATTGAGAAGGAGCCACTGAGCCTGGTTCTGGGTTCTGAGGTCATTCCAAGAGGCTCTCTGGAGATGGAATTGGGATGTGGGTTGGGAGTCCTTGAAGTCACGACTCTTGGTGTTTAGGGATACATTCACGCGCGTCAGATTTTCTGTAGCAATGAATGCACTGAGGTATCCAGGGGATGAATTCCCAGTACAGGCCTCGCTCCTTCTTCCTTCGCTCATACATTAGTCGGCTGTCCGAGCCACTCTGCCAACTGCTAATCGAATGGGGCGCAGTGGCTTGCAGGGTTAAATGGCAAGTATTCGTGCCTCACACACGACTCGATCACCAATGCCTGTACTAGGCCGCGTCAAAGGGCATGCTGCCCATGAAAGTAGGGGCACTCGACGATTCGCTCGACACACGGGCGTTGGCAAGTTAGGTCTCGTGCTTGCTGCGGGAGAAAGGCCTGACGCTACGCGGGCTGTGCTTGTGTATATTATGAATTTGCGTCCTTCCTAGCCTAGGAGATGTGTGTGCTCAGGTGGGTTGAGATGTGAGGATCAAAATCGGACTGCGGTTTTTCTAACTTAGACCTTCATTGAGGGGCATATAGCCGAATACAGTCGAACATCCTGGAGCAGTGTGAACAAAGCATACTGGGTCGAAGTGTGCATATCGGAGTTCATGACACTATTTCTTCTGTCTTCGCACGATCGATTGGCAAGTGACCAACCAGTCCAATCCGTGCTTTAAACGTGCAGTCGCAGTGGGAACAGGTTAAAATTGAGTCCACGCTGTTAATGATATGCCAATCGTGGTGATATTTTGCAAGATGGCAGGAGTGTCTTTACTGATGATGCTGGTGGTAGTGGTGGTAGTAGTATTAGTAGTAGTGGTGGTGGTGTTCCATGAGATCATAGATGGGTTGGTCGTCTTGCCATTGCAATGGGTCTGGAGAAGTCCAACAAAGACAAACCGATCCCGGAATGTATTGGGACATCTTATCGGTTTCCGCAGGGAAGGACGACATTCGTGTAGTTGCTGCGGCCGCTCTGCTAGTGACTAGCGTCCCCCTGGTCTATCAGAAACTCGGCACAGTAACCCAACCATATTGCACTCTCATCGCAACTACACCTTACCGCAAGCAGGGATTGGGTGATAAACAAACTATGTGATTTGTTTACTGCGTCCAACGAACTCAGCCCTGCCACGTGTAGTTTACTGGGTCTGGCGTCTAAACCACTGTGGAAGGGAAACAAGCAACCGTCCTCCGTAATGGCACCAATAAGCAGGACAGTTCCAAGGGAGACCAGAGAAAGAGAAGCGCATTCCCTACAGAGGACAATTCCATATTCTTTGTCAGGATGGTTCGCCTTTCCATGCCTCATTCATCGTCGGGCATTCGGAGGTCGGCCATTCTCACCTCTGTCTAAGCGAGAATCAGTTAGGTAATGACATGCTCTGCTCTGACTGTCATCCCTAACATCTTGTTCCACTGACACATGCTCAGCGCGTTTGTGGGCCATTTATCCTATAAAGTTACCTCCTCTATCACGTTCACTGCCGTGTGCATCTAAAATTTTTCGCTAGATAGAAAACAGAACCGGGGTTTTCAGACACTGACATCGTATATTTTCTAGTCTGTACTGGCTATTAATTTTGGTTCGTTGATGATAACTCAACCATTTGACGTACTGAACTTCCTCCCACAGCAAGATATTTGATGACCTTGTTCGCTTTATGACAAAATGTACTAATGTTTACCACCAGCCGAGTAAGCATCAATACACGGTCCACGCTCGCCCAATAACCAAACTCGTCGAAGTGTGAAACAGGTTCTACGAAGACTCCCACGCCCTCCTGGCGAGTCCGCCGAAGACAGGGAAGCTAACTCTAACCTCGGTTACTTCAATGCCCAAATTGGGACAGACTAAGTTGCCCGGAAGGGAGTGCTAGGCGCACAGCGAGTTGGCGCCTGCAATGAAAATGACCCTCTCCTTCTGCAAACATGCACAAAACACCTCCTCCTCCTCTTCCCCATCAACACCTTTTCGCCCATGTAAAATGAAAGGAGGCGACGTGGGTGCTCACCCGACCGCGGCGATTGTAGCTGCTGGACAACGTTCTCCTCCGTTTGCGTGGCCGCTACGACGTGCTACTGACAAAAGCGATCTGCGACGTCGACGGTTGGACGGATCATCGTTTTGCCAATTCCATAAAATAACCTATTGGACAGGCTCTCGTCATCCACCCTCATGATGTGGTCACTCCAGCGCAGTTTTATTTGCCTCAACATGACGGTTTTTCCCAACATCTTATTGTCCGTCTTTCTTTCCTGTCAATTCACTTTCGGGATCTCGGGGCAGAGCTGGGATGAAAACGAGTGGGTCTTCACGCTTCGTCCTTATTGGCAGTCCGAGTCTCCGCTCCGTATAAGAACTCCGTCAGGACAACAGCACTGTGAATTCTTAGTAATGTATTGAGTACAACGTCGCGTCGGTTGCAGACGTCACACAGACATAAGGCAGATCTGATAAAGCGGTTTCTTCATTAAAACTCATAGCCGTCTTGTTGTCGCATTTCATTGACGCTGAACTCAACAACCACTCCAAGTGATGAGACCAGTAAAATGTCCTCTTCAGGGCCGGAAAACAGATGTCCCTATTATCCAGAAGGCGAGAATAATATGTCCAACGATATTTAGGAGAATCCGGTCCCTCCTCTCCGCCCTGGACATGAAAGTCTGTCGCGTGCGAACTTGCCGCAGTTAGAACAGAAATCGAGATTCACAGAGACAAGATCTCACTGGGTTGGCTAGTCGGAAGTGTGGTGATCGTGTATGAAGACGATTGTTGGAGAAACTAGTCTTCAAGTGCTGAGGATAGGACTGAGACGCTTTGCCTTTTTTGCTGTAGATGAAAAAAGGCGATTGTGAATGAGCCACAGACCATAGAGTTTGTTTCTTAAAACATTCTTCCCTAGTAGTTGACTGGCAAGTAGCGCAGACGTGAATGAACGCCTCATAGCCGCTAGAGGAAAAGTGTTAATGTTGCGAGTGAAATTATTAAACAAACCGTCTTAGATATCCCGCAAGACAAGAGATAAGCAGAAAGCTAGCGGTCGGATAAGTTTGGTTCGAGGAAAATTTCCTCGGTAAGATCTGTTTATGTAGCCCCACCTGGTGAATCCAATACTGTTGAGGCTCTGGTTAGGGTTAGATTTTATGGTTACGTGTTACGGTTAGGCGTTAGGGTTAGAACTTAGGATTAGTGGTTAGGGGTTAGGGCAACTATATCTCAACCACTCAAAGTACAACCGCGCAGTCACAATAGCTTTCCTTTTTCATACAACTACTTGATTACGTCGCCTTAGCGTTCCCCGACCCCAACTGTGAACCCCTATCACCATCGGTCCCGTATTACAGGTGACTAGAATCTGTTTACTTCAGGTGGGGTTACATAACCTCATTTGACATTTTTTCTTACTAACTCTCACACAACTACTGTTCTTGGGCACGTATTTTTAACGGAGCCAACCACACGCTGTATTATTTTGACAGGCTAATAGACGTTTATGTTCTCAACTCTGTATGGTGTCCAGCCGAGGTTTCATTCCCAGATAGAGCGACAGATGATAAAAAAACAGTCATGTCCTAACAGGACTCGTAAACTTCTATGGCCTCCACAAATAACCCCTAGGGAGGTTATACTACTCATTGGAGAGGAAACAGGGGATATCTATGAGAGAATAGAATGACTGCATTGGCCTTACTCATTTTTACATCTTCCTTATCCTCATCGTATGTTGGACAGGTCGGGTGTATGTCGATTGCTTTCTCAACCAGCAACTTCAGTGCCCCGCGCGAAAGGACATATCCGGCGCCTCCAGAAAAGTAGCCATTTATTTGGAATCTCTACAATAAAATAATTTTCCTGAAAAATATGCTCTCGTGATATTATTGGTTTGACTCTATCTCCGCGGAAGAACACTCGAGTTGCAGGTTTAATAGATGGGATTTAATAACAATTTGATGAAGCAATACGACAACAAAGTTTGACATAAAAACCTTAAAAGTAGGTAATAGCAATTGCAGTCACTTTTATTAATATCGTAGATTGTTGTTGATTATACAGTCGACAGCTCACTGAGCTCGTGACTCAATGATGCAGCGTTATACTCCTTAACGCTCAAAGAACAAGGAACAGGGGACTCGAATCCAGGGTCACGCAGAAATGATTGGGTATGGCTATCTGTCCACGGCTAATGAACCACAACTGCCCACTCTAGCCTCCCTTGCCTTTGTCCGTACCCCTTGGCTAATGCACACGTTTCAGTCATGGTAGTCTTGCTGACTGCTAGCAAACCACGCCCATGCATTAAATGTAGGACCATGATAACTCTCGATTTTTACGAACAGATGCTACCAGTGGCTTTGACGTGCAGTCCCAAGGTAAAACTGACAGACCATGTTCCGTCTCATGTCCAGGATAGGTCGGTGTGTGTCGCTCCTGTGTGACTATCAGCCCCAAATTTCAGTACATGACTTCTGTACCATTGATATACGCAGTAGAACGAGCGAAAGTTATGAGTAGAGGCCACGTGTTGAGTCTAGTTGAAGAACAACCAAAACGATATACCAAGTTAACTGTGCCAGGCGATATGCTGTACGTAAGAAACAACAGGAATTTCAATTAACTCCAGCACTAATTAAGAAATTGTTGAGCTCTTTTTTCTCTACGGGAGTAAATAGACCTGGTCAGGTATTATGCGATAAGCAACACGCATGCGCTCATATGGTGAGTGGCAGCAGGCGTATGGGGACCGCCTCCTTTACAAACGCATTAGGGTTTAAATCAAAATATCAAGATACTCTGCTGAGGGGTACATTTATGATTCTCCTCTGGTGGATCCAGCAAAATCCCTGTCAGTTATATTAAGTAAGTATGTAAGTGAGTGATCGCTGACACCTGGTTCCTTGTCGATAGATGAGCTTGCGCTTCCGCTAGTCACACAGGTGTTGGGCGTGGCTACTCAGTCGTCCCCGTCGCTCTGGCTCCTGTTGGGTTTTTGTTGTAGTCTTGACACCGAGCTCATGTGAGGGAGGAGGAAAGCGTCTAGGTAGATGCAACGAAAGCCCACCATCACTTTGAACTAACTCGCGCGCTAGTCAATGTGCCTGCTCCGCCTTGCTGTGGAACACACGGTGGTCATTGTCGAAACCGACGGTGGAACTTTTGTGTGTTTGTGTGTGTCTACACCCGCCTCATCCACTGTCCGCACTGCCCACGCACATTCATATTTATCGCCGTGCAGCATAATGCCATGATAATTCGTTCACTTCATTATGTCGGCTTTTGAATGAACTTCTTTATGGCCATCTACGAAACTACACAATGCGAAAATGACCACTTATTTAGTATTTAAATTTTATACTTGAAGGGCATAATTCGGTTGAAAAAACTTTCCCAATCCCCGAATAATTTTGAACTCAACCTGCTGTTACATTTGCATTCAGGGTTTCAAAGCTAGATGCTGTATATTTTTCGTGTACGGAGAATCATAAATGTTTATACAGTATTAAGAGGAGACTTTATGGGGTTATTGAAAGTTAGTAGTAGATTTGAGCCGTACTGGCAATTTTAAAATCAAAGTTAGTAGTGCAGAAACACGATATTTTATGAACGGGCATTTCACGGGCTTAAAATATCTCATCATCAAAAACCTTTTTCAAAAGCAAATTACACACTTTCTTCGCGTATCGAGTTTAAAGAAGACTTAATTTTCTACCAAATGAGTAAAAAATGAGCATTTTTTGCGTACGCCTTCTATGAAATATAATTAAATTTTTATATGTTTTGGCAGATTTTGAATAATTCATATTAGCCCAAATGTGAAAACCTCGGCGCCTCAGTGGGATTCGAACCCGCGCAGTAAGGGGAAGGCCTTTAGTACAGCCAACGCTCTATGCCCTGGAGCTACGAGGCCCCGCTGTATGACGCGAGTTTAATCACATTTGGGTCAAGATACCCGCCCAACCTGCTACAACGTCTGGAATCCACCAAATCTGATACAGTAAGTTGACTGCCCAGGCAGGATTTCCTAAGTAATTCACCTAGAATCCACCAGACGACTACCAGGCCTACGTAATTCCTAGGGTAACTTGACCCAAATGTGATTAAACTCGCGTCGTCCGGAGGGGGACTCGTAACCCAAGTGGTTAGAGAGTTGGCTTTACGAGAGGCCTTTCCCTTACTGTGCGGGTTCGAATCCCACTGAGGCGCCGAGTATTGCACAGTAGGGTCAATATGAATAATTACGTTTATACAGACACCGATAATCCGTGGCAAAAATTCATTCTAAACAAATAATATTTTTTACAGAGTGTAATTTAGCAGATGGCCATAAAGAAGTTTGTTTAAATGCCGGCATCCTGAAGTAACTGAATTATCATGGGATTATGCTGCACGGTGAGTATTCTTACAATCCTACGTAAGGATATCTTCTCGAAACGATGACGTATTTCACAATTTCGATTAACACTTCATGAGTTAACCCATCTACTGTAATTAGAATCTCAGTTGAAAGGGCAATTGCATACGAACACAGGCAGGCGGCATGAGCTCCAAGGCAAAACGAAACTCCATAACCCGTTCTGCAATCGCGCTAAATCGGATGACTGCATTCACACATTGCTCTTAAGGATTTCAGAGTCTAGTCTACAGTTTGTAAGCTCCTGACCAAACGGCAATGTGTTATGCTCAGGAAGCGACGATAGCAAGTTCATGACTAAGGCTTTCCAGGCCTGTCGTTTTGGCCTGATTGGCTAGTAAATGAACCAGTAGCGGTCATTCCGGTTTTCCTAGTCTTTGCTGCTAATAGTCCTCATTTAAATTAAAGCCCGAATTCTAACATTGTAAACACCCACTACCGACTACGCTACACGAAACTTTGCAAACTGCAAAAAATAGTTTAAACAGGAGTAGAATCTGCCTAAAATCAATATCCATGCAATAGGATTTACAGTATGAAATGACTTACGGGAAAACGGCGTCCCATCATGAATGGTTCGTCGGGGTTTCTTCGGCTCAGTTCGTCGGCCAGGTTCTCCACAAACATATAAGTATCATCATCAGCTTTGTAGAAGTAGTCGTAATCGTTCCGGTACTGGTAAACATAACGCACTATCTTCCTCATCTTACTCCACAAGTGCATTCGACTTTCCGGTTTTGTGAGATTAAGATCTGAAAGGACCAATGGAAATGGACTGGTTTCAGAACGGAGTAGTGGGCGCCTGCTATCTCGACACTGAGTCCATGAAAACCGCAAGCGGGCTTTGTGCAAATTGCAGCTCTTGTGGCTGACCTTATTACTGGAGAATTCACTATTGACGGGATTCCGACGGAGGCATCCGAGTGAAGCCAACTACTTCGTTATATCAACGCTTTTTTCAGCATTGTGCAGAAAATTAAGGTAAATTTGAATATTTTTTGAAGATTATGGCCACCATTTGTAAATAATTTCAATTTCCAACCTATGTAATTACCTCCATCCGAACTGCTTCCAGCAACTGGGCTTTTCGTGCACCGCATTCGCGAAAACCCGCGGTAAATAACCACCGACTACAACACACCATCACACCTTCCTCCACCAGCAGACATGGCACTCCCACTCTGTAAGAAAAAAGCCGGGCTTGGCTGCACGCCCGGGTGCGGATCCGGCCGCGCCAACAGCTTTTTGTTTTTACTTATGATTTTGGCCATTTGCTCTGCGGACCAGGAAGTGTTAAGTGCAGCCAAGGTGCGAGCATGGCAGTGCCATCCATGTGCGCCATCCCCCGCTTACGGCCTTCTCAACTCTGTCTTGACGCCGGGTTTATGCTGGGGATGAGAGGATGCCGGTAGATGCAACGCAAGCCTGTGATCACTATGAACTAACTCGCGCGCCAGTCGCCGTGCCTGCACTCACCTGGCTGTGGAGAACACGATGGAAATCGTCGGGAAGGACCGCCGACCTGTCGTGTGTGTGTGTGCGCCCACATAACGGGCCAGCTGTTAGATGCGCTGGACCAACACGCGAGCCACATCGGATTCTGGCAGGCATTATCTGTGCGCAATAACAAATGCCAACACCTAGGGAGTGCGCTGGCAGTCTCTGTTGCCGACAGTCGTCGCGCAACTGGGATCACTGTCACGCCCTCCATTGTTGTTGCGGTCAAAATCCATGTCATTTGCTGTGTGGACCAGGGGGTGCGGTGGAACGCCAAGTTGAGGATCCGTCCGAGCCATCCACCTGCGGCCTCCCCCATCTCCGGTCTTCTTGACTCTGTCTTGACGCCGGACTCAGGCGGGGGAGGAGAGAGTGTAGGTAGATGCAGCGCAAGTCTACTGGCATTATAAATCCCTGCTCAAGTCACCGTCCTTACTCTTACCTCTGCTGTGGGCACACGGTGGACATCATCGAAACCGATGGCCGAACTATCGTGTGTGTATGTGTATGCGTATGTGTGTGTTTTAGTGACACACTAAATGCAATAGTCTTACTAGCGAAGACAAGCACACTTTCGGACATCCATGTTTGCTGCCATCGTAAAATAGCAACACGATCCACGAGCACCTGGTGTCAAGTTTGGGAGGTGAAGTCTGTGCTAAAGGCAGGGGGAGCAGGGTTGTCTCGAGCCCCCATCAAGAGAGCAGATATACTCAGGGCAAAAAAGATCATCCGCCTAACCGAGACACGATCTCACCTCAAAAATCGCACCCGGATTTGCAAGCAACACCCAGTTTTGGCCTGAAGTCCACTGATCAATAAGAGTAATCAGCCCTAAAACTGTTGACCAAACAGGTTATGCGAGCTCTATGCTGGGTACCTGACTGTGTACTATCTGACAGTTTGCCTCCCATGAGCCTATTGATGTACGTGAAACAGTCCTTTTCAGAGACGGATGTCTAGGTGACAGTTCGTATAACACAAAGACTGAATTTCGTGTGAATCATGTGATTCATTGTGACTTCTTCAGACAGAAGGGACCTCTCCCAATAATCCACAGTCATTATCTAATTCGCTTAAGTGTACTCGGACAAGCCTGATATCCACAAATACTTCCATTTCCATTCTTTGTTGTTGTAGTTGGAACAGGAGAGTGACGCGACAGAAAGTTCCCATCATGGCTGAACGCAATCGACCGGTATTAATGAACTAAATAAAGGTGAGGTAAAATGAAATTCTACTAAGACGAAAAAATTGACACAAGGGGATGAGGCATAGTTTGTCTATCGCAGGCCATGAGGAGCATGAATGCTACGGATATGTCCCAGGAGTGACTTGCGAGTAAAGTAATTCGGGGTAAAGCAAACTGGAGACATTCCAGTTAACAGTCACAAAGTGATTGCACGGAGGGAAGTAAGGATGGACAATGCTTGCTGAAGAGAGCTACCATTGCATACATTATCCGACACCGCCTTTTCAACCACCCAAAATAACGACTGTCACCGTCGATATGTGCGCATTTTCGCCAGGCAGATATGCAGACATATGCCACTTTAGTGATTTGTGTGATTTGTGTGATACTTTTTGGCACAAAGTAACAGTCTATGGCATACTGAGGCTGTGAAACCACGCGGATCTCAGTGAGTGCTGGTAATTTAATAATTTGCCTGTTCTCTGGAGGTGAAATAAAGTACGCGGACTACTGCGTTATCTGTCTCACGGGCGTTGCTGTGAGGGCCGCTGCACTTTAGTTCAGCATGTCTGGAAATTATCCTTTGAATTCTTTATTTAGTTCTTAGAAAAGCCTGTATTGGCAGCCAGCCTACTGTGTCAGAGTCGGTAGGTTCCTTATGTTGCAGTATGCTGGTCAGGTAACTTAGCCTAAATGTGAAAAAGTCAAGGCTCTCTGTCGGGAACGTGTTTTAACAACTGGGTATTCAGTTAAATTATCCACTATGTGGCGCCGTCTGTAATTGCTATCAGCAACTAACTGCCGCTTGTCTACTTAGTTGCAATGTTTATAGCCCTTAACCATGCGTCCCTATGGCAAATGCTGCAGCCAGATGATGTGCTAACAGATGTCACTGCTATGGTCAGGACCGGCTATCGCTTCATCATTGTGTGTTCTCTTTCACAATGATGCGCTTTCCGACGGCCAAACGCTTGAATCCTGTCGCAGAACCTTCGCCATTGACTGGATTCTCGGACGGGACTTTGCGCAGCATTGGCGATGTCGACTTCCAACTCGGACGGCGATTTGTCGACTTTAACTACTCTATCGATACCACTCCGCCAGCGTTAATCTATGAGAACGTACAGAATGTGGTGCCATCGATGGATGAGGTCAATAACTTAGTCGGCTTGCCTGTGGACACTGAAATAGATACGGTGTTTTGAGCTGCCTTTCTGCGCAAGGAAATACACCCCAAGCTAAGCGATTGTGAAAATGAAGAGGAGGATAGCTGCGAGTACATCGGAACGGGGCTGTTGCCAAGTAAACAGAGTAAATATGACAACTATAAAGCACGCTGACGACCGTATTAAGCAGACGAATGTGTACTACCGTCTGCATAGTGGGGCCACTAGTCCCTTAAAATATCACGAAGTGCGCGGGAATGAATGATGGCGCTTTGTATAAGGATCGAATGGTGGAGTCTTTAGCAAGCTTCTGATAACGGTCCTTTATGTGCCTCCACCTTCGCCAAGACACAGGAATAGGAACCCCTACAAATAAACAAGCTGCTACAGAGATCGACTACTATTAAACACATTTTGGCTAGATCGCAGTTGGTAGCCTGGCCCTGTATTAAATATGACGTGGGTTTGTCTACTCGGGCTTTTTGTGGGGCTACATTATCTTATCTGATCCATTTGGCTTCCGTTTTGCGTTTTAGGTTAGGATTACGGTACCGGTTAATGGTGTCTGGTTTTCGGGTTAGGCTTATATCCTTTAGGCGTAGGTTTTCGGGTTGTGGTTAGGGTTTGAGTTTACGATTAGGTTTGAGTATTACGGCTTGGTTTTACAGTTGGGGCTATGTCTAAGGGCTACGGTTACGTTTACAATTTAAGTTAGGGTTAAGGGTTAAGGTTAGGGTTAGGGCTGAGGTTAGGATTAGGGTTTAGGTCGCCGTCCGCTTCCCCATTCCTGGCTACCAACTGCGACTTAACCCATATTTTCTAAATTTCACCGATCTCTCTATGGGGATCTGTTATTTCAAAGTAATTCAGATATCCGTGCACTGGATTCTGGAAAGGACATGTGTTCCCCAGAAATAACCCGTCCTGCCGGAAAATTGGAGGAATGGTCCTTATCGGAAATGGATTTAAAAAAACGAGAAGTATTCATTTTGACTTGCCGATGACCGGAATCGTCGGTTCTGTCTGGCTACTGAAGAAAAGAACTTTTGTGCAGCGGCTAGCCCACGTTCGGTTGACGTGCAAAGCCTTGGTGAAGTATGTAGCCGGAACCGTGTTTATGTAGCAAAGTATGCGGGGATTGGGGAGGGGTCTAGAGTCTAAAGAGTAAAAAATACAAGGCAAAGCATTTGACCTGCACGGACCAATAGGAAATATCCAATGACACAGACTGTTTTCCACTACGCCTGTTTTGGCATGGAGACGAGAAGGCAAGTGGTACTTGTGGCCCAACGACCTATAGCCAATAGATGAAAGGCAGCAGGGACCGTGCTGTTGTCGCTAGCTTTTTTCACAATGCCAGTTTCGAAATAGGACACGATGTTTTAAGTCTTTCTAAGACATTCAGACTACGTCCATCCAGAAGCACAACAGCTGGCCAACTGTGCCACCACGGATAAAAGCCTCCACGTACTCAACTCTTGCCCAGACCACGTCGCTCGAATAAAACTCCTGGAAAGACAGAATGTGACAGACCTGCAGTTTGGTCATGACCCCGTACTCGTTGAATACTATTCCTGGTCTGCGGGTACAGTACGGTGCTTTCGTAATTGATAACCTACTCTACACATAATGCATGGAAGGTCAAAAAATGCCCATATTCATTGGGATCGAATCTGATTGACGTCGAATCCTCGGAGTCTTTCCTTGGAGAGAGCGGCAGAAAGAGATTGCTCAACTTACATATCCAGTTGGTACTAATTTAAGTTAATCTAGTTGCCTCTGAGATAACAAGGGAGGAAGTTATAGTCTCCTCTAAATATACGTATTCATTGGAAATCAAAGGCTAACATTAAGAATATCCTCTGAGATTGCAGAATTGGATGACCTGACTGTGACATGATGACCAGGAAGCGTAACCCATCGGGTTTTTCTTCACACTGGGACATTTCAATCAAAATACCAGCTCAGATGTCCAGGTGGAAAACTAATCATGTTGCAAATCTTTGAACCTCGATGATAATGCGAGTAGGTCCATTGAGACTTGCGACTAATGCTTTAACTTTCGTTGGTGCCGACAAACCAACGAATCTACCCGGGACTCGGATGATGGATACGAAATTATGTCAGCGTCGATGAGAGGCATAACTATGCCGTTTTCCCTGAAATGCCACAAATACTTTTTGTTTACCAACAATGGGTCTTTTTATTCGCCTACTTGTAGAATCCAATATGAAAACCGTCCGTCTCTCGTGGACGATCTGGTCAAGGGCTGGTTACACGCTGTCATCCTGCTTTCAACACAGCTTTTGTGGTGTCGTTGACAAATCGGGTTTATGTCTCGGCCCTTCTGAACGTATATGATACGCAGGATGAGACATCATGCAGAGGGTCGCAGATAGCTTACAGACGTGTTCCGAACGGCGGCCTACATGTTATTGCGAGAGACTGAAACACCAGGTAATGCTAAGTTGTCAGGGAGCGATTTAACAACTGCTTCATTGTGGTAATTCGTTGCAGGACTAGTGGGAGTTTTGCCTAATGCGCACTGACATATCTACCAGACTATAAGTCACAGCATAAACTTCGGGTGATTGTTAAACCCTGCGAAGGTAGTCGAAGTCTAGCATGTAGGTAAACGATAAGAACCCTTAATCATATTCCAGTGTGCTCAATAGGAAAATCAAGTATTTTTGGTGCACGGAACCTCCTTTGGCGCCCAAGGTAATTTATTCGGCGCCAAAAGCATCTAAGCCCAATTTGGGACTGTAACACTGCACTTACCACCCTGATCCTTTGAAGATGAAATGTTGGGAGAGATATCCTTTGTTCTCGTGGAATAAGTCATTCCTCTAATTAATAGATGGCAGACGATTCCCAAGAGGAAGCATAGAGGAAGCTGGCAGTTGTAAATCATACCTCTATTCATCTGAACGTGATGCAGAGGTGGGGTTGTCGCACGGAATCGTTGATGTTTCTGTAGACGTCGCCTGAGCGGGGCTTTAATTAACCGCCTCCTTAAATAGGTTCATGCAATTTGACCGTTGAATTGGCACAGCTACGGTCTCATATCTTCTTCTCGGGGCTTCATTTGTCATTCTGAGCTGCCATGACGGATTCGCGACATAAGACAAATTACGTAGGCAGACACGTAGGCGTAGCATGACTCCAGTACAACCGTTCAAATGCTGACACTGCTGCTCTAAAGTACTTTGATTTAAAAAACTTTGGGATCAGATTAAGGAGTAAAACAGAAATCAAGAGCTGTTTCGTAAGACTCTGTTGCTAGGCCCCATTCCAATTATTCTTGTGTTCCAATAAATGTGCCAGTGAATGCGGACGCCTACCTCTGACATCGGTACGCGTTTTCATTTTCAAAATCTGCCGCAATAGATCGGACTGCCAAAACATTTCAGTGTTTTTCAGGAAATTGGAAGGCCAGTCACATGGACAAACTTCGTCCTTACAAAAAGGTACAGTACGGAAAATTCCGTCAACGATACACCTTATAACAGGGCTTTCAAAAGATTTACTTATAAAAGACAGTTTTTCAATTTATTCAGAGCATTTAATCGCCGAATTTCGTTGCGGACGTTCTATCTTTCTCGGCGATGAGGTTCCATTTTTGGATGCCTCTACAACTATGACCCAAAAGCACGTCTGCACTGAAAAAATGCTCAGAGACTCACTCTTTTGATAAATCCCTCCGACAGATATCTTATTTTAGAGGGATTGATAAGCACACAGCGAGGAACTTATCTTTATGAGCAATCGATTTGGAAAACTGAAATCCGTTAAGTACTCACCGACACATCATCCATCGTCATTATAAAAGACAGACGTTTTACGGAAAGAAAGCTCTCTCAACGCACACGTAAGGGTGAAATTATCATTGCATGTGCTAATTGTATGCAAATGTATTAATTGCCGACCGGCCTGTGGCCATGAAACCTTATCTAAACTTTTATTCTTGGGACGCCTCTGTTGACGAAATTAAGCGAAAATATCTTTGTTTTAGTAAACCGCATCTCAAACAATACAAAAACGGCAAAATTATCGGTTTCGAGCAGCGGGAACGTGAAGCACATGACCGGACATTGCGCCTTCGTAAAAACGGAAAACATACAGAGTATTCTCTTAAAACCGTTTTTGGATCTATACTAAAAGCCTAGGCCGTTAACTAGCCGACATACTTGACACTGCACTTATTCTTGGAGGATATGTATAAATTGCGATGAGGTTTGGTCTTGCAGCCCCACTTGATTGATACCATGTGCTTAGATTACTAAAACAATTTTAGCTAACATGCCTAACTTAGCCGCTCGCTGGATTAGGCATGGCAAGAGAGCACAAGTAAAGATCGGAACACGCGTAGGGAAGCGCGTATGAATCACTGCTTGGTACAACCGAAAGTGACATGTACACATTCCCCGAGACAGCCATTCGCTGGATTAAGAGGATAATGGGAGTGCAATCAGCACTTGTCGGCTACTGGGAGAGGCGGGTGTCAATTCGCAGTGCATGGTCACTATAGTGGACCTGACGGAGTTCCAGTCCGTCCGAACAATCCTTTTGGCGAGCCTGCTTAGCCACTCGATGGATTAAAACAGCAGAGGGAGCAGGCGGGGCCGGAAGCACGCGCAGGGAAGCGCCTGTGAGCCGATACCTGTTGTGGACGAGGATGGCGTATGAGGTCTCCCTATCAAAAAAAAAACAGTTATCTCTAAACAACATAATAAATTTTCAATAATTCTTCTGTACTTCCATTCCACTTAAAATCCTGTATTATTAACATGGAGTCTTTGTCAATATATTTGGTCCGGTTGCCGAATTATTAGAAATGGTTCGTAAATTCGTGTGTTAGACTACCTACTGTACCATACTGCCTGGGAGGTTAGTGCTGGATCCCATTGTCTCGGTGGCGGTAACAACAGCGATCTTCTTCTGCGAACCTGTGCGGAACACCAGCGCCTGCTTTCATTTCCGCCGCGGAAAAAAGCAGCGTGGATGCTTCCGCACTCGCGGCGCTGGCAGATGCTGGACCACCTCGTCCATAGGGTTGGTCACCACAGTGTCCTAGTGACAGAGACGATCTCTGATGTCGAAGTCTGGACGGATCACTGCCCCCATTATCCCAAACATTGGGCTGTGGATATAACCCGCATTAAATCACAAGGTCAGCAGCCACCAAGAAGGTTAAACACTGTTCCGTTGAAAGTGCTTGTCACCGCTTAGATTTCATCAGTTGGTCCGCCGCAGGCAAGAACTGCAGACTCCGGACGACGTCAACTTGAAGGCACAATGGCGCCATCTGAAGGATGTTATCCACCCAACCGCCATGGATATGTTTGGTCGCGCACACCAACACCGGAACTAGTTCGACGAAAAGACGAACAAAATTTGCAACCTGCTGACCGGAAAGAATAGACGGCCCCAAGCCTGCACTAACCATGAGGCTGGCACTAATAAACCAGGCTTCCACGGCTTCGATATCTGGTGTAGGAGAGACCGCAGAAGCTGCATAATGACTGATTGGGTCGAAAGGATGAAGAAATTCCAGGTCACGTGGATTGTAACAACATGAAGCACTTCCCTGTCTCCATCAAGGCGGTCTACAGTCGCCGCACCACAGAGACCACACCGTTGCTCATCACCGACGAAACAACCCTCCTCACGTAGAAATCGAAAATTTTGAAAGGCTAGACCGAGCACTTTAGAACTGTAGACTATCGCCCGTCCACACTTCCCGACGCCGCCATTGATCAGCTTCTCCAAATGGAAGCCGATACAGACCTGCACCTTCTTCCCTTCCTCCCAGGAACAATCGGAGCCGTGCAAAAACTCTACAGCAGGAAAGAATCTGGATCCAAAGCAATTCCAACCGAAGTCTACAAGCATGACGGCCCACAGCCGATAGACGGACTCACTTGGCTGTTCGAAGAGACGCGGCGGCAAAGGCGAGTCTCCCAGAACTTTAAGGATGTCACCATCGCACACATATACAGTCTCACGGACAACTGTCAACTCCGCCATCACCGATGCATTTTCATCCTTCACGCTGCTGGGAAAATCCATGTCCCCGTCCTCCATAATCGTCTCAACAGCCACCTCTAACTGGGAATCATCCCAGAAAGCAACTATGGGTCCTGAATGAACCGCGGCACAGTCGATATGATCTTCTCTGCCCGCCAGCTACAAGGAAGATGTTAGAAAACGCTGAAAAGTCTCTTTACTACCCCAATCAAACGACTTTAGGTTAGAGAATGGCGACGGACTCTGACGAGTCAAGCCAAAATTCCGGTACCAAGAACCCTTCACGCATGTGGTATACCAATAGAATGCTAGCTCACGTCACTGACAACAATGCAGTCTCAGAAGCATTTGCAATGGCCACTAGGGTGAAGCAGGTTTGTGTACACGCTCCCACCTTCGTCAGCCTCATGCTCTCCTCCATGTTGATGGACACATGCTGGAAATAATATTGCCCAGCTGACCAAAGGGCAACTGCTGCATATCCGAAACATGCAAACATCCTCATAAGTATCTCAAATTAGCATCCACGACCTGCCGTTCGCGGATGACTATGCACTCGATACAACAACGGATGCAGCTATGCAAAGGAGGAAAGACTTCTCCTGGACTCCGACTGCGCCAATTTCGGACAGACAATGACCACAGAAAGGACTGTGGTTATACATCAATCGACGCCAGAAACGCACTGCAAAGAACCCACATCACCGTCAATGGAGCTCAACACACAAGTGCGGAAAAATTGGCATGCCTTGGCAGCACAGTCTCGCGGAATGACAGGACTGACGACGAAGTGGACCACCGGATCTCCAAAGCCAGCCAAACATTTGGCGGGCTAAAGGCCTCAGTATGGAATCTAGACGACTTCGCCTGAAAATGAAACCCAAGATGAGCAAAGAGGTAGTCCTAAGGACAATAGTATGCGGGGCGAAACCATAAAGCTTATATGCCAACCAAGCCAGGAAACAGAACCATTTTCACCCTATTTGTCTCCACAGAATATTAAAGGTGAGGAGGAAGGTCAGGTTCCCTGGCACGTGTGTCATAAAACGGACCGAAATCCTCAGCATTCACGTTAGACTGATTCAAGTACAACTGCGCTTGAGCGGAAGATGGTTGCCTACACAGGTGACTCTATTACGGCGATGTCACTACTGGTAACCTCTGACAAGGTGGGCTAAAGGGTAGCCGAAATGACGCGTTGCTCCGGATGGGTAGGTTTGGAGAAAAACATTGAAGACTGGAGCAGCAATCTACAAAGTCATATGGATCTCCGCTGCCAAAATCAAGTATCATCTCGTAAACGTCAAGTACCTCCGACACGTAATGTCAATAACTAAGCCCTTCCAAAACCACTACACTCTCAACGGACATTCTGCGGGGGACTCGACCTTTCCGAAAGTCTTCGGATGCCGTACTTCAGCAACACGGCTAATTTTTTATGTCGCTGGCCTAGAATGTCCGCCTGCGTTACCAATCAGCGAAAGGGCTGCGTTGATTGGCTCCAAGTCCACGCAAAAAACTTTGGGGTTGCAGAAAACCGTCGGACAATATGGCTTTAGGGAACGATGTCGTCCCTGTGCTGTGCTGTTTGCCACTGTCTTTCGACTTGTGTTGTAGAGTGAGACTGATTATCTTTTAGGGAGACTCGGTTATGTTATGTTGTCTCGACATGAAAATACCATGGTTTCTGACGAAAGACATTTTGGTCTCGGATGAGATGAAGACTTTCAGGTGCGCGTACGAACGAAGTGATCCTACCCGGAGTACTTGCTGATTTCGGCAGCATATGACAGTTCGAGCATCGCAATCGACGGTGTCGACTGTGCGCCCCAATGAGCGTATGGGACACTGGTGATTTGCACGTGGTCTAGCTTATCGTGAGACGGATTCTCCCTACATTTCCTCATTCCCTTTGCTAAGATAGCAGGAAAATGTCAAAACGGCTAGGTGCGGACGCGGACACAATTTTTGACAAAACTAAACAGCCCGCCTGTGCTGTCACACACGGCCTGATCCCGAGGTTTCAGACTAACCTTGGCCTTTAACAGTCTATTTGCATTTCCTAAACAGTACTGGTTGTTTGAACTGACAAATTCAAGGCCTGACGCGTTGAGGAGGGGCCGATGCAGCATGAATTTGGGTCTTTCGGTCACTACAAAATACTCCACGTGGACAGATTTATCCAGTTAAATGTGGTTATGTAGCCCCACCTGATGGACGCAATACTGTTGGGGCTGGGGTTGTGTGTTAGGGTTAGCAGTTAGGGCAACTATTTCTCAACCACTCAAAGTACAACCGCGCGTTCCCAATAGCTTTTCTTTTGCATTCAACTTGACATCGTCGCCGGTGCTTGTCCCGTTCCCACCTGTAAAAACCCCCTATTACAGCCGGTCTCATAATACAGGTGGATGGGGTTTGTTTACATCAGGTGGGTGAGCCGAACCCCTCGCACCTGCGTCAGACAGCGGTACACGATCGGCGACGCACGCGATAGCATAACACGGATCACCCTCTTATGTTCGGATATTTATTCTTCGAAATGTTTTTAGATTTCTTAGGCAAGGCATCTTATCGTACTGAGCATATGGCCCACCGTCGCTTCTCATTATGGTCGGTGACTGGTGGACTTCTGATTAAATTGTAGACAGCGTGCAGATCCGAAACTCTCTTACCGGTCCTACCATATCGTCTTATCCTGTTGGTATCATTTTATCGCCCTTAAGGGTTGAGAATATGGATGAGGCCCATTATCAAAACAAATGGATTTCATCCTATAATCTTCTCGTATAATCTTGAATAGAAATCACCTCAGAGTTTGTCCTCAATCTCTGTTGGGTGCCGTTCGCGCACACTCATTGTGGGGCCCAGCATATCACTAACGAGTCGCATGTGTTGCTTTCCCATTAACATACGACCGTAACGTGCAATTTTTGCTGCTTCCTTAGAAGTTAGGAAGATATGGATTGTTTAAGGCCACCCGACAGTTCGACCGTCGTTTCCAACGATGTCCACCGTGTGTTTCACAGTAAGGTCGTGCAGGGACGGTGACTTGTGCGTGGATTATGTTATAATGAATGTAGGCCTGCACAGCATCTACCGCACTCTCTCCTCCTCCCTCGCCTGGACCCGGTGTCAAGACAGAGTCAAGAAGACCAGGGAAGGGGGAGGGCGCAGGTGGATGGCACGGTCCAGCCCGCACCTTGGCGCTCCACTCCACAGCCTCTGACCAGGTTTTTGACCAACAACAACAACTGGGGGCGACAGGGGTTCCAGTGTGCGCGACGTCTGTCAGCAACCGGGTCGGCCAATGCACCCCAAAATGTTGGCATTTGTTATGGTGTGCAATTCGATAACGTCCGCCAGAATCCGATACCGACGCCGTGTGCTCCACCATATCTACCACGTGGCCCCTTTAGAGTGCATTTATTAGCATACAGTGCGTAAGAAATAAACCGGAGAACTCTCAGATTTGAATGAGCTGCTTCCTGTACTATTTTTTCCTTACGAAGGCCAGTTTTAAAGATCCAACTATGATCTTCAAATATTAATGTGGGCGAGCGATGTTTCGGCCTTCGTAACGACCTGTGAAATTCCAAAGACGAGTATCTTCGACGACTGAAGTCCATTTAAATACAAACAAGCACAGAGTGACCTCACAATTATATGGAAACATAAAATATGCAGTCGTTTCTCACAAGAACCTTTATGGCCCTTTGACGTAGGGAGTTTTTTCGCACAGTTAATTTGCATCCACGTGCTATTTGCATGGGATTGCCACTAGCCAGTCGGTTAGGTATTCTCCGTCTTAACTTACACGTTTTCTAGATTATTCCAAGTAATTAACTTGATCAATTCCATGCCTTCCCAGAGGTTAATGCCAGTTAGTAACTCTCACACATTTTGCCACTAGCCAATCAGGTTGGTTCTCTGAAATTTATCTTGCATTGCACGTCGTTCTAAATTATGTAAGGCAATAAACGCTTTTACTTATTGTCTACGGATCAATCGCTTTCTAGATTTACTTCAGTCTTTGCCTCTCCTGAAGTACACAAAACCCTTTCCCTACTTAGATTCCGCTTGCTTTTTGATCAGGTGTCTGGAATCAGTTACATTTTTGGAGAATTCCCACAACTGTCGTGTCAATCTTGCCATCAATAACTGTACCCTCCTCGTCTTGTGCAAGGGGAAGTCATTGTAGACTTGATTTTTTTCCCGAATCAATAGCTTTCATTGTAGTGCTCTTTTTGTATTTCCAGAGTACACAACGTATCCCAATACTCTGGAATACACATATTTCAGTCCACCCGTCGTTAATGCTTAAGCCTTCGAGGACAATTCCAGTTGGTGAATAGTGAGACGAATTTTAAGGATAGAACTAGGGGCAGCAGCCGGGATTGGTACCTGTGCCTAGTGAATAAGAAATGCGTTTTGTCTTGCTCGTATGCTAATCAATCATCCCACATCGATAAAACCACGCAATATGAACAAGAGGTGTAGAGCGGTGAAAACAGGCACAGCAATCTACGAAGTCAAGCGCATCAGCGCCGCCAAAGCTAAAGGCGAAGCTCGCAAATTTTAATTGTCCGCACTTCGCAAGGCCAACGATTAACAGCTCTCGACCTGCACACAACGTTAGCGGACATTCCGGGCACCAATCGGTCTCACTACACACGCCTTCAGCTAACTCTGACCACCCTCCTGAACCACCACGTCCATCCCTCTCCTCCATTGCCTCAACATCCGCCACCGCGGCTCAAGTACCCAGCACCACTGTACACAATCGTGGCGCAGCAACAAACACCAGCACCACCACCGTCGACACCAGTGGTGAGGGCTGGGTCTATACCTGCCCTCATTGCGACCGCAATTTCACCTAACGCATCTGTCTGGTCGGTCATTTGCGAGTCCATCGCACAGACACTGGCGCCCTCGCAGCCTGGTATGCGCTGGCAATTCCCTGCCGCTAGATGAGCTTGCGCTTCGGCTGAGTATGCAGGCGGTGGGCATGGCTGCCTGCTCATCCCCGTCGTTCTGGCCCCTGTTGGGGTGTTGTTGTTGTTTTTTGGCGAAAATTCCTGGTCAGTTGCTGTGTGAACCAGGGGGTGTGATGCTACGTCTAGGTGCGGTTCTGGCCGTTCCAGTTACCTGTGTCCTCTCCCGCTCTCGATCTTCTTGACTATGTCTTGACGCAGGGTTAATGTGTGGAGGAGAGGATGCGGTAGATGCAGCGCAAGTCTGCCATCACTATGAACAAACTCGCGCGCTCCGCCTTGCCATAAAACATACGTCGAAATCGACCGTGTGGCCTGACAGACCATCCAAACTAAGGGACACCAATCACAGACTGCCCTCGTTACACAGATCAGAAAACTCATGCGTTAGCCTATAAAGCGAGAATGAAGACCGTGCTTCAGTTAAACCAAAATGAAGGATCAGAAGAAGAAGAGACGATCGCTGAAACAAGGTCTTTATTCGCCTGACGTTTCGGATTCTCACTTGAATCCATCATCAGAGACAGTAGCAGAAAAGGGTGACTCGTGCACAGGAAGTTACAGTATTTATAGAATGCAGTCGCTATGCTACCGCATACCTATAGCAATTAACCGCGCTCCCCTTCATGAAGGATCGTTGCCCGCTGGTGCACTAATTGCTTGCTGACCGGCATGCAAGTTGTTAATTACCGAAATGTCATCACCCGTGTTGGATGCTGGCGTGATGATTGCTCGGCCATCTGGCTCACCGGCCTGCGCGCGCCCCGAGTAGTCAATTACCTTGGCCAGCCTATGCCTCAGCACGGAGTATGGAGTGGGCATGTCGTTGCACTTGTTGATTGATTGAGGTCCCGTGAACCATGACTCAAGGAACTCGCGGCTCACACGATTATCCCCTCTCGCGAGAATTTCGGCCTCATCGAACTTGAATATGTGGTCGGGTCTCGTCGAATGGGCCGTCGTTCCAGCGATCGCTTCTTCTTCTGATCAACTAGTTCCTGGAACTCGCATCTTCGCTTGTATCGGTAGTGTGTATGGGCGCGACGCGCTCCGACCGGCCCGACGATGGGAAACTTTAGCCCTTCGAGAGGCCTCTACTTATGAGCAGATCCGGTTTCTGCACGTGTGTCTCGATAACCACGTGTTGTCGAAGTGCGTTTCATACAAACCCCCAGTAAACACGGAGCTAGCGAGCCGCGCAGTATTTCAGCACGGAAGACGTAGGATCCGCGTGCTCCTTCAAGATTGCCATGCGAGGCTTCGCAAATGCCGTCAGAGAATTGACCAAGAGAAGGCCAGATGCTGCGAGTTCATGGGCGAGAACGGCACAAATTTGCTTCAGCAGAAGGTGACTGAACGAGCCCGTGAGCAGAGAGGGGCACGCGATGCAGCATTGTGGAACAAGTTCCACAAACTGCCTGATCCACCGTCATCCAGAGGCAGCACACTGGTACACAACCTGTCCTCAAAGGAACTGACGAAGAAGCAAGTACAGGTTTTACGCCACGAAGCCTCATTCAACACAACTGACGCCAAACCTGTCAACATGATTGCAACAGTGGAATCGGTCATTTATCAGACGGAAGCGGCGGAGGAGACGAAGAAACTTATCTGACACCAAGTGTCGTCCCTCCTTATGACTCACAAGTCGCGCGAAATACTCCCGACGGTTGAACGCGATGCACTAAGAGAACTCAAGGCCGACAAGGACATCGTCATCGTACCCCCGGACAAGGGGCGTTCCACCGTCGTACTGGACAGAACAGACTACCTTCAGAAGGCCAAAAACCTACTGGAGGATCGCCAGTTTTATGTCCCATGTGAAACCAACCCCGTAAAGACGCTGACACGCGAAATTAATGCGACATTGTTGGCACTGGAGAACTCGGGTGCAATAACACCGACCGACCGACACATGAGGAGAGCCCAAGAAACGGCTTTGGCCCAATTCTATGATCTCCCCAAGGTGCACAAGGAAGGCGTTCCTCTCCGGCCCATTGTATCGCTCAAAAGCACTCCAACGTACGGACTGGCAAGATGGCTGTTTCGGCGCCTCAAATTTCTGACCGCTGATTGGGACACCACCGTCTGCTCGTCAACACTTCCTGGAGAAGCCTAAAGGTCATGGTATCTTTTGATGTCACGTCCCACCTTACTTCTATCCCCCAGGATCTGGCAATCGAGACCGTCCAGCTACTCCTACGAAACAAATACAATGAAACGGAGAATCGTCTCGGACATGCCCAAGTCCTTCAGCTCCTAAATTTCTGTCTCAGGACGTACTTCACGTTTGACGGAACAATCTACGAGCAAGTGAAGGGAACACCAATCGGCTCGTCGATCTCGGGATTCATCGCCGAGGCGGTCCTACAGCGGTTGGAGTCGCTGGTTTTCCAAAACCACAGACCGAAATTCTGGGCTCGGTATGTGGACGATAACTTCGTCGTCATCGAACGGGATCAGATGCTAACGTTCAAAGAACGTCTCAACAGCGTCTTCCCGGACATACAATTTACGATGGAGAAGGAAGGAAATAACCAGCTGGCATTCCTTGATGTCCTCGTCTGCCGCAAAGATTGTGGAGGCCTAAGACCAAAGTGTTCAGAAAAGCGACGAACACGACGCAATTAATGAACTTCAACTGTAACCACCCAATCAGACACAAACGCAGTTGCGTAAGAACGTTATATCGGCGTGTTGAGACGCACTGCAGTGAACCGGAAGCCAAGGTTGCTGAATTCACAATTAGTGCACCAGCGGGCAACGATCCTTCATGAAGGGGAGCGCGGTTAATTGCTATAGGTATGCGGTAGCATAGCGACTGCATTCTATAAATACTGTAACTTCCTGTGCACGAGTCACCCTTTTCTGCTACTGTCTCTAATGGTGGATTGAAGTGAGAATCCGAAACGTCAGGCGAACAAAGACCTTGTTTCAGCGATCGCTTCTTCTTCTGATCAACTAGTTCCTGGAACTCGCATCTTCGCTTGTATCGGTAAAGAGAAGGATATTGGAATCCACTAACGTGCCCTCTGATCGGGGTGCACCTAGTTACAACAGCACAGAGTCGGAAACTGATTGCATCCAGGTGACTATAGTTATCAGTTTTAATGGGGACCTCAAACAATGTAATGTTGCCTAGCTTAACAGTCGATCTTGTAGTGGTACAATGTGTAGTTACACATGGACGAAGGCGGTCTCTTTTAGCACTACAAACCAGTTCTGACGCATTCAAGAGCTTCAGAATTCCACTAAAGTCCTTTTCCTTCGCCTATAATTTTTATTCAGCAAGCGTGGGAGTTTTTTCATGCAGAATTCCGATGATATAATCTTGAGTGAACTCTGCATTCACCGGAATCCTGTTTTAAATGCTTGGGTGCGACATCGTTATCTAAATTTGATGAATGTGAACAACGCACTCCTACTAAACGCGACACGTTATCTCTATGCATTAATATTATTAAAAGGAAACTTACCCATGAGCGTAGACTTTTGTCGGTAACCGAAGATGCGGTTTTCGAGAACCACCTATTTCCCGCATATGCTGATTCCGGATTAAACCAGTGGAACTTGTTTTTCGACAGATTGTCGATGGCGTCTTAGAGCTTTACACCAACAGCGACACCACAGACACCTATGAGATAATATACAAACATGAGTAGAGGATAGACAAGCTGAACCATGGAAAGTACGCTAGGCAGTCGACTGTTGAATCTTCAGGCCTATTCTAGTCACCATTGTTGCTTACTGGGCGTAGCGAGAGATAATCTTAATCAAAAGTGGAAAGTTGGATAGACGGCCTCATTTATTTTGACTTATGAACCGTTTGATGAGTTCAAAATAGCAGCAATGCAGAAACAAGCTCGTGTAACCTATTGCCTACTTATCGCGATATTTTCTCGGATAGATACAAAGATAGCTAGCACACAGAATACGCGGAGATGGCACTCACCTCCTCCCTCCACACCGGTCCCTTACGTCCATAATGATAGGTACATTCGTACATCAGGAAATGGGTAATCGACTTGCCAGCAGGGGCCGACGTCAGATATGCGAAAGTGCTGGAGAAAAGTAGTCAGTGGTCCTGACGAGACAGAACGCTACATATGGAGCAAAGGGATGCATCGCCTGAAAGGAAGGCGGCCGCGTGTTGATGAGGATGCAGTGACTGGTAAGGCCGAACAGTCTGTCTACCCGTGCCACACGCGATCTGGCCCCGACTGCACGTACGAGGCCTTCATGAGGTTGACTCGGACTTCACGCGTTTGAGAAGGCCATGAAGGTCGCATTGAGAAGGAGCCATGGAGCCTGACTCTGGGTTCTGAGGTCATTCCAAGATGTTCCCTGGGGATGGAGTTTGGATGTGGATTGGGAGTCCTGGAAGTCACGACTCTTATTGCACGGGGATGTATTCAAGCGCGTCAGATTGCTGGTAGCAATGAATACACTGAAGTGTCGTGGAGATGAATTCCCAGTACAGGCCTCGCTCTTTCTTCCTTTGTTCACGCATCAGTCGGCTATCCGAGCCTCTCTGCCAACTGCTAATCGAATGGGGCGCAGTGGCTGGCAGGGTTACATTGCAAATATTCTTGCGTCACACACGATATGGTGATCAGGGCTGCATTAACGGCGTGCTTCCCACTTACATTAGATGCGCATTTGCGGTCATCCGACGATTTGTCCGATATACCGTCGTTGAAAAAGTGGATCGCGCGATTGTCGCGGTAGAGCGGCCTGGATGTATGAGTGTGAGCACCATAACCGACCACCCAGGAGTTGCATCGAGCCAATGTGGGGGCTAGATGGGGCTACGACCGGCTTGTGCATCCATGACACATTAACGATCACACGCTCGTTCCTGAAACAGTTTGCGCATGTATCTGACTCCAGCGATGAGGATCAGGACTATATCTGCCCTCACTGCGACCGCACCTTCACCCCACACATCGGCCTGGTCGGTCACTTGCGAATCCATCGCACAGAGACTGGTGAACCAATACCTGGAGCACCAACTCACACCCACCACACTCGCCTCCACTGCCCACGCTGTTCTCGCACCTTCACGCATCGCATGGGTCTATTCGGCCACATGCGCATCCACGAGAGCGGAACTGACCACAATTTTGTCACACCAACAACGTCCAACAAGTCCACCATGCCCAGCCCCTCCCTCGCTTCATCGCCCTGCGCGCACATCACCAACACAACCACCGCCTTCTCTACAGCTGACACCGACACGGCCGACTTCATCTGCCCACACAGTCCACGGACATTCACCTCACGCATCTGCCTGGTCGGTAACTTGCGCATCCATCGTAAAGAGACTGGAGAACCAGTGCCTGGAGCACCAACCTACAGCCGCCAAGCTCGACTCAACTGCCCACAATGTCCTCGCACTTTCAGGCCCCGCATGGGCCTATTCGGTCAAATGCGCATCCACGACGACCTGTGGTAAACTACCGCCGGTTAGACCACACATCCACACACTCCATACCTTCCTCCATCATCTCCACTACGCATTAACACTCACCCACCGCATGCACCAACTGCCACTTTCCACTCAAGTGGGAAGTGTGCATCTCCACTTGGTCCCCGTGCGGCTTCGGCTGCAGGGGTGACTTGAGTCCGAGACTATCCCGACACGTCAGGCGTCGTGGATAGGAAGGTTGCTGATTGACGCCCCCACTCGGTCCACGCAGTTCGTCGCGCTGTGTGCGTGTGTGTGTTGTGTGGAGTGGCGGACTGGTGGGCTGAGGAGGGGCTAAAACAGCACCTTCGACGGCACTCTCATGCAAATAAGAGACACCTCGTTCAACCCCCGTTGTGTGAAACCCTGATGTGTGTGTATGTGTGTATGGGGGCCAGTTCGTGCACGTGGCGCACGCAGGCATGGTCAGTCGACCGTGCCAGCCACCGCGCTCATTCCTCACTCCAGTCTATTGACCGGCTCGGACAGTGGCTGGGGTGTGGAAGTGGGAAGGGAGAGTGAGGTCGACGACTCGGCGCACTTCTCCTCACTATAAACAAGCTGACGCGTTTGAAGCTATCACGGTGCGCTAAAAGCCGTGGCTTGGAAGGTTGCCAACTGACGGGGTAACTTGGACCTCCTCTTTGACTGATGGTGGTCTGAGAGTCAAGCTGCAGTGGCTCATTCTTAATGTGGCCTTTATGGCACTCCCACCACAGTGTGGGATCCGAGCCAGGCGCTGGCGGCGCGCCTAGGTGCTGCTTCGGCCGTGCCAGCATCCACTTTGTTTTGTGTTGGTCAAAATCCTGGTTATTGTTGTGTGGGCCAGGGGGTGCGATGGAACGCCAAGGTGAGGATCCGTCCGAGCCATCCACCTGCGGTCTCCCTCGTCTCCGGTCTTCTTGACTCGGTCTTGACACCGGGCCCAGGCGGCGGAGGAGGAGAGAGCGTAGGTTGATGCAGCACAACGTGACGAGTGAGTTTCATAGAAAAGATCGGTGAGCGCCCATCTAACATGACAAAAGTGTGCCAAGAAACGGTGTCGGCGTCATCTTTGTCCAACACAACAGCGGCATGACCCGTCTGAACGATACATCAGAAAGCGAATGGACGTAGAACGACTAATAAGAGAAGAAGAAGAAGAAGAA